CAGTTTCCTGTGATGGTACTTCTTGGCATGATTGATTCGTAGTGACATTGTTAGCTGCAAAAAATCTACTAACCCATTGAGTTGTGGTTTCTTTCACTGTTTTATGTCCCTTATCCACATATGATTGCCTTCCTTTGTAATAGTAGCCTCCTTAGCTACCTGAATCCCTGGTGAATTAGGAGTAAATGTAGGTTCTGCAGGGTCTAAACTTCTCCTAGTTTCCTTAGAAGTAGGATTTGGACTATTTTGAACATTGTTGGTATTTACTAATGCTAGTTGATTATTCTTATATGTCTCACCTTCATTATTCTCCAATGCAGCAAACTTATTTGTAGTAAGAATTTGTTGAGTAGGAGCAGTACTAACAGGAGTAGCAGTAGGTGGAACCATCTCCATCCCTGAGGCACCTTGACCTTGTTGAGTATTACTAGCACCAACTGGAACAATTTCTTTTCCAGTTGGACCTTGCACCAAAGGTTTCTTTGTACCATTCCTCACTCGATTATCCCTAAGTTCTTTCCATTGTTCTCCAACATTCCCAACTACTTTCCCACTAGATAGGATCATAAATTCTTCTGAAAGTTCTGATCTTTACCATCAACAGTAGGAGCTTGTTTCTCTCTATCAACTTTCACAAATAATTCTGGATGCAACCTCCAGCATGTTTCCTCGTCATGACCTTGCAGCTTGCACTCCTTGTAGTACTTTGGTGTATAGTCATATTTGACCGTAACCCATTCAGTTCTAACAATACCATTATCTATATCTTCGATATCCATTCTAACTCTTTTGGGCAGCTCATCTAACAGGTCCACCTAGACCTTAACCCTTGCACAACTTGGCCCCGTCTTATTTACAGTAGCCATATCTAAGTTTAATAGAACACCCACAACTGATGCTAATGAGAACAAACATTCCTTCACAAAAAAAGTAGGCAGCAAATTTGGAAAAGAAATCCATGCCATTACCTTAGGAGCCTCTTCACCAGGTTTAAACTTAGTATCATAGATTAAAGGTCACATTTGATATTCATAACCATCCTTATCTTTCAAATAATATGCACCTTTAGAAGTAAGATTAGCATCATCCTTAAGCAATGTTAACCTGATTAACACATGACGATCTCTAAGCAAACCAATATTATAGTCACCTTTTATACCACATTGAGTAGGAAGAATGCAACGTATCTCTTGCAAGTCTGGCCAACCATATGAAAATTTTCCAAGTACTGCATATTGAAGTCCCTCAATAATGCTCATTCTTTCCACTTCTGCTTCAATCCACTTGATCAATGGCTACCCATGAAGGTAAGTAACTGTTTTCAGGGGAATTGGCTTGACAACTTTTGAACTGGACGTCGACGTATGCATGGCAGCATTCAATGCATTAGGTTTAAGGATTTTTGAGTAATCTAAAGGCTGGGGAATAGGATTAAAAGGTGTTATGGGATTGGGAGTAGGCTGACTAGTTGTCGAAATAGGCTGGTTGTTGGCCGACGCATCTATGAGAAGGTTTCTCTCTCTAGTCGCCTATAAATCTCAGATTTTTGCTAGAGCTTCTCTCTCTATTGGCTTTTAGTACGAATAATGTACCGAGTATGTAAGGCATGAAAATCAGTACAGAAAAAAACATAAAAGAAACATCGAGTAAAGGAATCCGCCTGTATGTCTAAATAACTTTGTGAATCCTGAAATATTTATAAAGTCGTGCATGTATGTAATATCATGCATATGTATATGTGTAATAACATCATCAAGCCTCTAAGAGCATCCCGACATATCATCTCGACCTTTGTGGGCAAAATTATCAATGTATACCAACTGATCAGGTGGTGGTGCGTATATAACGTCGTAACATTTTCCCATATCCCATATACATATAATATATGTGTATATAATGTCATCTGGTCATGGGTCAATGTACATGTATAAATGAATGAAATGCATAAGAAGTAAGCTAATAAGTTTTCTCAGAATGTCATAAGATCAATATGCCTTCGAATAAACTTTATCAACTATGTATTTTTCTGAGACCCATAAACAGAAGATATAATAAGACACATGGGAAATCAAGAGCATAGGCACCCCTAGTGCTTCTATGAATAGAGGCATTTATAAAAGTTGTGCGTTTGCTCATTTTATTTGTATCATAGAAGTCATGCCAAAAGGAAAAAAGCGATAGCCTTAACATACATAGCCGATTCTCTTGACAATCCCTCTAACACACGTCAATTACGATAAAACACATAATGGCGAGATCGAAGTAGAGAAAAATTGATATAATATTCTTGAGAAAGGTTATACTGGGCTCTCTTAGAATTGTAAGTCACGTTTCTATTACATTGTAGGGGTTCATAAGAATTTTTGTTGAAGCTACATCTGTTACTTGCAAGCATATACATTTCCCTTTAATGATATAGGGAGGCGTCTTTATCATAGTGGGTGTGGGCTTCACTTTATGTGATGACTTAGCCAAAAAATTCCCTAAATATGCCACCTAGCCCCATAACTTATCTAGTCAATATTAGGCTTGATTAAGAACCCCTACTTGTTGCCACGTTTGGGAGATATTAAGCTTATCCACAATTTCTAATTACTAACAATTAATAAAAAGCAAATTCCTAATAATAGGATAGGCAGGATCGACACTTGGCAGAGGAAGAGAAAAGGATAGTTTAGGGCTTTGCCGAAAAAAGATTCATATGCTCTTTTAAAAAACTACGGCTAGTTTAAAAAAAGTGCGGATAATTTAAGTTTATTGTTAATATGGGCTGTTAGTATAGTTAATTCTTCTACATATGAAGTAAAACAAGGAGGTAAAAATTGCACGGGGCGTCTTATTTGGTCGCCCCCATTTAACCTATACCAATTTTTTTTTTAACTTGTACCTATTTTTTGAATAACTTCAGCACCCTTTCTCCTCCTTCGTTTTCTTCTTCTTTCTTCTGTTGTTGTTGGTGCGGATTATTTCTTCTTCGTTTTGTCTCAATTAATATTCTTTTACGTAAGAATAGTTATGGATTTAACTTAACTGTTTGTTCTAATTTTTCATGAAGTGGAAGGAGTCATCTATTGAGCTCAAAAACGGCAACCTGTGATGAAGTAGAATGGAGTAACATATTTGAAGGGAAGATATACGTACACAAACACAATTATGACAAGTAGGCCAAGTAATTTGTAGCAATTTTTCGTCTAAACAAAGAACCACCATAATTAATGATAAATGACAAATTAACTACTCTCATCTTGGCTACAAAAAGTACAAAGAGTTATCCATATGAAATCACCAGTGATTATAGCTGTCTTTGCTAAGTATAGGAAAAGCAGTCAAGTGATTAAAAAATTCCGACTCGAGAAGAGGAGAGCCAAGTAAAATATTAGTACAAACAAAAATTTCAGCTCTAGAGCTGAAGTTCGACAATTACAAAACAAAAACTTCAGCTCTAGAGCTGAAGTTCGACAATTACAAAACAAAAACTTCAACTCTAGAGCTGAAGCTTACAAACCAAAAGCCAGTTACAAACAAAAACTTCAGCTCTAGAGCTGAAGTTTGACAGCTACAAAACAAAAACTTCAGCTCTAGAGCTGAAGCTTCCAAAAAAATATTTCAGTTCAAGAGCTGAAGTTTGCTAGTTACAAACAAAAACTTCAGCTCTAGAGCTGAAGTTCGACAGTTACAAAACAAAAACTTCAGCTCTAGAGCTGAAGCTTACAAACAAACTTTAGCTCTAGAGCTAAAGTTCGCCAATTACAAACAAAAACTTCAGCGACAATTACAAAACAAAAACTTCAGCTCTAGAGCTGAACTTCAGGCCCGGCTACTAGAATGCTGAAGTTTTGCGTGATTGTCTTTGCTACTTCAGCCCCATATGCTGAAATTATGCGAAAAAGCGGGTACACTTGTAATTCTTTTTTACAAAGCGGGCACAAATTAAAACGTGACACAAAAAGCAGGTATTGATGCAAATGTCCCAACAAGAAGACACATGGCCCGATTAAATGCTGCCAACGTATTAAAAGTTAGCCCATATCTACTGCTGTTAAATTGAGGGGTAACTTTGTCATTGGAAATAACGATGAGGGATATTTGGACCAAAAGGGGGACGAAGAGTTTTTAAAGCATTCACCAAATAATAGGGATAATTTTGACAACTTCTCCGTACTCCTTATATGTATGCTGCCAACTGCTTGGGGATCCAATTAACATATTAAAAAATCTCTCTCACTCACTAAATTGGAACAAAGTAGAGATGCTATTGATGGCCACCTACATAAGACCAGCAGCTCCTTGTCATTCCTTTTTCAGCAGTAGAAAAGGCATCACTTGTATCAAAAGCCAAAGCCTGCGGCCTCTCTACAGCTAATTCCACCAGTCCAAAAGCTGAACCACCGTTGAGTCACAGCTCTATTCCCACAAATATTAACACCCATAGGCGTTCTGGGAACTACAAACCTCCTACTTTGCCTTTCGAATACATCCAATCCGTTAATAATGATTATGTGGTACAGCCTGCTATGATTAAGCCTTTCTTGTTATTCAAAGATAATACTAATATTTCTGTGTACTATATTTGCATGGATCAGAATCGCGTGAATATTTTATCAAATGATCATTATATTAGTTATTTAATGTATTTTCTTAAAAATATTGCATACATAGGGAGAGAACTATACGAAGCGCACTACTAGAAAACGAATTTATTGGAACGGTTTTTGGGCAACAGTTTTGTAACTGTTACAATAGATCATATTTTGGAACGGTTTTAACCATCCCAATAGAGTCAAAAGGCTTCTGGCATACTTCGGAACAATAACTGTTCCGATAGTGTATTAACTGTCACCATAAGTATATGTATGGAGACGGTTTTTATATGCGATACAATAAGGTTGTTTGTGGGAACGGTTTTGTGAAATAAAAAGCTATTGGGGCGGTTAAAAATAATGGACCCCACTAATATTTTAATAACTCTAAAACACAAAACCAACCTACAAGACATCGACTTCACTCTCAATAGCGATTACCCCAAAATCTCAAAGACCTCTCTTTCTGTTCATCAACCTAGAACCCACCGACGAACTCTGTCGATCAGCTCCGGTGAAGGACGACCATTATCGGCTAACATTTCGGGTTTTTACCTGTTCGATGTTTGTTGTTACTGTTCGATTTTGCTTTCTTCTTCCCTAGTTTGAAAAATTATTTCATTGCTCCTTCTATTTTCTTTCTTTGATAATATTTCTGATAAACCCATTATTTTGCTTCTGTTTTGTTTGTATTATGAGATATATTTTGTGATTTTTAGTTTGCGAAATTGGGGGATTTATTTGTTAGGTTTTGATTTTGTGTTAGAAACCATGAGATTTGATGTTTGCTCTCGATGTTCGATGTTCGATGTCTTGTTCGTTATTCTGAAAATGGTTATTCTGTATTATATGTGGGAATGCATGGAGTAAATTTTGTGAACAAATGCCATTCATGAAGGCATCAGAATTGGAAAGGAATGGCCATGGAAAATCCTGTAGCAATATGATTGAACCTGTAAAACTAGTTTTGGATGGAATGCAGCCGGAAGCAGGGGCGGAGCCACCATAGCTTAAGCGGTGTCATCCGACACCACTTCGTCGGAAAATTTACCTATATATATTTGATTAGTATACAAGAAACGAACTAAATATATTAAAATGACATTACTTGTCACAAAGGAAGGCGCAACTTTGATGGTGTAGCGCCTAAACTTATTCAGAAGTGTCGTGGGTTCGAACCAAATAGTTACGCGTCTATATGCTTTTAACTTTTCAGCATATAGGGTCTAGGGCTAGTTTGTATTTCACTTGCTACTACTTATCTTGCATCTTTTCTTCCTTTTTTCGGCAACGATTGAATGGCCTTGAAAAATCCTGTAACAAAATATGATTGAACCTGTAAAACTAGTTGTTACTTGTTATTATGCCTGAAGCTTGTCTAACATAGGAAAATTTGATGTTACCTATGAGGATTGCACAATGAAAATTCACTAACATCATTTGATGATCAATTAATTGAATATGCTCCTTTGCTAATCTTTTCTATGCTAAGAGAGGAAGTTCATGTATACTTTTACTCCCCATTTTAAGTTAAGAATTGGTTATTTTCATTTAATTTTTGTAAGATAATTTCTTGATTAGTTTCAAGCTGTGACTGCTTAAATGAGGCACAAACTCTTAGTAATTTATAGGGAGTGTTGTGGAGTGTTGTGTTTCGTAGAACTAGAAGTACGTATCTAACATTTCACTACCTGGTGAAAATCATGTGCTTGGGCTAGGCCAATTTTCAGTCAGCTATATAAATTCAACTAAGTCAATATTTTTCTTTTCTATCAAGAAAACTATGAATCTCGATAACTACTGGAAGCAGTCTTATTCAGTTAATACATAGCCATAGTGAGCTTGAAGACAGACACTTCGGTTAAGAAACTACAATCACAGTATTTGAGATGTGGAAAATTTGGGATAATTAGTTCTTGCAGAAGCTGTTTCTATACTGGAAAACAATGTTTTAGCTCATGACTTGTGTATCACAGAGTCCACATCTGCTATCTCACCTTTCCTTGTTTCCTTTAATGTTCAATGGCCATTCTCTCATTTGCATTAAGTGTCATTTGTATCTCGTTTGATATCAACAGGTATTACCATCAGTTAGAACCATGGATGTTTACTTGCGACAGCAGTTTAGATCTTTGTCAATACCTGCCAATTCAACTTTACTTGCTGGGAAATCTAAGCTCATATTTCTTTTGAGTATTCATGTCTTATTCGTTAACTGTTCGTTCATTTAGATAATGAGCATGTGTATATGTATATGTGGTAAATATGTCTATAAGTTTTCATTTGTCATTATTCTTGTAGTTAATTTTTTTTTCATTTGACGAATCGTTATTTATACTAACATTTCACACTTTTTCCATGAAATCTGCAGGACCAATCCATCCGAAAGATATGTCCAGACTATATCTGTCCATAACCTGAATTACCGGAAAGCACAGGACATCTGGTTGATAACAGGTTCTCTGAAGTTCTCTTCTAATACCTCTTTGTTCAATTGTAGTAACTTCTCTGAAGTTCTGATCATTGAGTTCACGAATCCCATGAAAGAAGCAGAGCTAATAAGTTTCTTTATAAATTTCCATCTTTGTATCCTTGAATAAATTGTGTAATTTAGGACCCCTGATCTTCATCTTCAATACTGTCCTAGCCAACAACCTGTTGCATGAGTATAATTTTTAATTTTAGTGATTTGGTCAAAAGGGACTTATTCTAGATTATGCATAAATACTTGTCTCACTCTCGACCAGTCACTGAAAATTAAAAGTATGTAGCCTGCGTAGATATTATTCACAAAAAGCATCTCACAAACTCGGATTAAGAACGTGAAAAAAATTCGTCCAGTGAAATGATACCATTTAAAATGTATCCTCAAGTACTGTTTATCCCTGTTGCTTATTTCAGTCAGCACATTAAGCAAAAATGATGAGTTCATAGTTCACTTTAGTCCATAAGTTGAAGGTATTATATTTTAGTCGTGTTGCACAAGCAGGAAGTACTGAGTCCAGACTCCAAACATAAAGCACGTTAAACTAAATTATATTTCATACACTTGATAAGGGTCCAGTTAGCTCAGCATACAACTCTTCTATATGAAAAATAAACAGTTTGAGAAAGGTAGACAGGAACCTTTTGGCCTCTCACAGGTCTGGACATGTCATTTATGTTCTTTTGAGACATAGTCGATTCTCGTCTACATATTCTGTTCAACATCAAAAAGCATAAATTTCTAATTTGAAGTATGATCATACTACTTATACTATTGGCAGATAGTGGTTGCAGTTTTTGCTGAAAGTATGATGTGTGTGTATTCCTGCAAAAATCGACTGCTGAGAGTATGATGTGTGTGTGTTTATGCCTGGGTTGTGAAAAGCGAGAAGCAAATTCTGCTATATGAAGTGACTCAGATAGACAAAAGTGTGCGCTTCCCACTAAAAAGGCAGAAGCGGCGAAGAGAAGCGAGTAAAGCTGCCAGCCTATTTAATTAAAAAAGAAGGGATCAGTGTACTTCTATTAAAACACGACCAGTAACAACAACGACTAGGGTTCCCTTTTCAACTTCAACAGAGATTCAGCGGCAACAGGTATGTGATGATGTCTTCCTTCTTCTTCTTCTTCTTCATTGTTTCAACGTCCAAATAGCAGTGAAATGCTAGCGATTTTTTTTACCCTCGGTTCTTCTTTCTAAGTCTTCTCCTATTTACTGAAATGTTGTCTAGTTCTTCTTTTATTATTTATGCTCCCCAGTTTTAACAGAATGTTATACTGCCCTTCCTCTGAATATCATAAGAAGGTTCAACTTCGGAATACATGTTGCTAGTTATAAGTGAAACTGAATCATTGTTGCCTTTTCTTTCACTGTATATCAGAATCATATAATGCTGATCTTCTAACATTCTTCTGCTAATCTTAATTTTCAAGTATTTGCGTTATTTTTTATGGTACACACTAATAAGATTGTGGCACGTCATTAACTTAAAAAAAATTCATTGTTCTTGTTAAATCTAATAGCCACTATTTGTTAAATATTTGTTATTGATGAAATTTGCCTTACGTAGCTGTTTATGTGATGATTTTGGTGATTGTTAAATTTCACAACAATGAAACTCATATAATTTTGAGAATATGTGGCTTTTTTCTATTCTTTCTTATTAGCTGATTTTTTCGATTATTAGTATATAAACTAAATTTATACTAGTTGTTTTGGTGTTATATAAGATAAAACTAATTTAATGGATAACGGAGATAAAAGGTGGATGAGCCTCCGAAGGTCAACTGATGAGTACATACAAGGAGTGAGTAATTTTCTTGATAAGGCGTTTGAACGAGCTTCCCAGGGAAATGAAATATTATGCCCTTGTAAAGAGTGCGCTAATTGTTTTTGGCATTATAGGAATATGGTGGAGGATCACTTGATTGTTAATGTCTTTGTTCATGGATACACCAAATGGGTTTTCCACGGGGAAGGATTTTCCTGGAGAAAGACTCCATGCCCAAGCAATAATGATGAAGGTTCTGAGATGCATGATGATATTGAAGGATTACTTCATGATACATTTCAAAATGTCGAGGATGATTTGGGACATGAAAAAGTGAGGGATGGACCTTCCGAAGATGCAAAAAGATTCTTTAAATTAGTAGAAGAAGGAAAAGAAGAATTATATCCAGGGTGTGAGAATTTTTCCAAATTGGGTTTTACGATCCGGTTGTACTTGTTAAAGTGCATTCACGGGTTGAGTAATGTGGCATTCACAGACTTGTTGGAGTTGTTAAAAGAGGAATTTCCATTTGCTCAGCTACCCGAGTCCTTCTACAAGGCAACAAGCATGATAAAAGATTTGGGTCTTCATTAGGAAAAAATACATGCATGTCCTAATGATTGCATGTTATTTTGGAACGACAATATAAATGCAGATACTTGTTCTGTGTGTGGGTCTTCTAGATGGAAGAATGTTCTTAATGTATTGACTAATAAAAAGACCAAAACCCCCGCAAAGGTTTTAAGGTACTTTCCATTAAAGCCTCGCCTTCAGAGGATATTCATGTGTCCCGAAATAGCTGCAGCTATGAGATGGCATGCCACTGAACGACCGAATGATAGAAATATAAGACATCATGCTGATGGTGATGCTTAGAAGAAGTTCGACTCCTTGCACCCTAAATTCTCTAGCGACCCTTGTAATATTAGATTGGGTCTTTCAAGTGATGGTTTCAACCCGTTTCGAACAATGAGTATTTCCTATAGCATGTGGCATGTTATGTTAATGAACTATAATCTATCGCCTTGGATTTGCATGAAGCCAGAGTATATAATGTTGTCAATGATCATCCCAGGTCCTTCATCTCCGGGATATGATATAGATGTGTATCTACAACCACTAATTGCTGAATTAAAAGAGCTATGGGAATTCAGTGTAGAAACATTTGATGCCGAATCTAACCAGATGTTCCAAATGCGTGCAGCCTTAATGCGGATAATTAATGATTTTCCTGCACTATCAATGCTTTCTGGTTGGAGTACAAAGGGAAAATTTGCATGCCCCACTTGTAACAATGGCACATGCTCTCAATATCTCAAGCATAGTCGTAAGATGTGCTACATGGGTCATCGGGCATTTTTGCCTTCTGAACATCCATTTCGAAGAGATAAGAAATCATTTGATGGTAAGGAGGATCATAGACTTGTACCCACTCCTTTGTCGGCTACAGAAGTGCTCGAAGAGTTGCGCGAATTCAAGAGTGTCTTTGGAAAGGGCCAAAAGAAAAGGTCTCGGGTTAACAAGGGTCCATGTGTGATGACCTGACCGGTCGTCTTAAGAATTAACGCCCCGATCCCCTATTAATTACTTTCCAGAGTTTATTTCTGCTATTTTGATTTGCCGGGATGTTCGGTTTTGAGTTTCGGAGAGTTTTGGGATACTTAGTCCCAAAATGAGAGCTTAAGTGTTGGAAAGTTGACTGTAGTCGGAATAGTGTAAAGACGGCCTCGGAATGGAAATCTGACGGTTTCGTTAGCTCCGTTGGGTGATTTCGGGCTTAGGGGCGTGATCAGATTGTGTTTTGGAGGTTCATATCTAATTTAGGCTTGAAATGGCGAGAGTCGAATTTTTGAAGTTTCTGGTCCGATAGTGAGATTTTGATCTAAGGGTCGGAATGGAATTCCGAAAATTGGAGTAGCTCCATAGTGTTGAATGTGACGTGCTTGAAAAATTTTAGGTCATTCGGATGAGATTTGATAGACCTTTTGATCGAAAGCATAAGTTAAGAGTTCTTGGAGTTCTTAGGCTTGAATCCTATGTTAAATTGGTGAATTGATGTTGTTGTGAGCATTCCGAAGTTTTCAACAAGTTTGAACGATGTCATGGGACATGTTGGTACAATTGGTTTGAAGCCCCGAGGACTCGGGTGAGTTCCGGGTAGGTTCCGGGATGTTTTAGGCCAAAAATCATAGTTGTTGCAGGTCCAGAAGAGTTACAGGCCTCGGAACCCACCAGTGCGGTCCGCACAAAGTCCAGTGCGTCGGCGGTGGGGGCTGTGCGGCCGCACAAAATGTAGTGCGGTCCGCGGTGAGGAAAATTTCACTGGTCCTACCTCAGAAGCTTATATCTTTTGATCTACAAGGAATTTTGGAATGATTCAAAAACGAACGTTGTAGCCCTTTGTGCCTAGTTTCCAGAAAGGTAACGAAATCACAATTTGGACATTTGTAGAGAAAGTTATGGCTAAAATACTAAAGCCTATTACTGCAGTCAAAACCTGTGCGGACAACACTTGTTTTGTGCGAACAACACTTGTTTTTGTGCGGTCCGCAGTGGTGGAAATCCGGGGGGTGCCCTATAAATACGAGGTTTTGGGTTTTGTTTCATATTTTGACCTAGAGAGCTCGGATTTTGGCGATTTTTCGAAGGGTTTTCAAGAAATTCATCGGGGTAAGTGATTCTAACTCAGATTTGGCTAGAGTATATGAATCCACCATTGAATTCATCATTTAATTCGTGATTTGGGATGGAATTTGGGAAAAAAACTTGTGAAATCTTTCAAAAATGTAAAATGATGATTTGAAGGACCAAATGATATCGGAATTGGATAATTTTGGTATAGTTAGACTCGTGAGGGTATGAGGATACTGAAAATGTGAATTTTACCCGATTCCTAGATGTGGGCCCGAGGGGCATTTTGGTCATTTTACATAATTACGCGTATTAGCTTAGAATTTAATTGTAGAATCAGTTACTTGAAGTGTTATTTATATTATGCAATTGAATTGAATAGATTTGGGCCGTTTGCAGTCGAGTACTCGTGGTAAAGACGTGGTGTTGGGTTGATTTTGAGTTGGTTCGAGGTAAGTGGCTTGTCTAACCTTGTGTGGGGTACCTTCCCCTTAGGATTGGTATATTTGGTAATTGAAATTCCTTGTACGTGAGGTGACGAGTGCGTACTTGTTCTAATTGTTGGAAATCCGATTTTCCTTAAGTAAATGCTAGTATGTTTCCTTTCCTGTTTCTATTTCTTGCACTATTAAGCATGTTGTTAGCTTAGGAAAGCGTGTCTAAGTGACTTAATTGCTTTATTTGATTCAACCTACCTTACTTGAATTTTGTGCAGCATGCTAGGCTAGAATCACTTATTTCCTTAATATGAAATTTTGTCATTTCTGTTTATCTTCCAGCTGCTGTGTGTATTTATTTTGGGACTACGAATATAGGATTCCGGTAGCTCTCCCTTGTCTGTTTACTTTGGGACTACGGGTTAGATTCCCGGTAGATCCCCCTGCACATTTACTTTGGGACTACAGGTTAGATTCCCGGTGGATTCCACTGCACAGTTATATGGAACTACGGGAATGCACCCGGTAGATTCCCCTAGTACTGGGTATTTACATTTAGGACTACGGATCGGAATTTCGGTACATCCCCGCGCATTGATAGTTGGACTATGGGACGGGATCCCGGGAGATCCTTCGGACATATATATGATGGACTACGAGATGGTATCCCGGGAGATCCACTAGACAGTGGTAATTGGGACTATAGGACGATATCCTGGAAGGTGCCCCGATTGTCGTCTCTGTGTTGAGCTGTATTTCTTTCCGTGGTTTGTTTTGTCTCTGTTCTAGTTGTTGTTGTTCTGTCAATTCTATGTTATTTCTTATTGTTGCACTTATTTATACTATTTTATTCCACACTATTAACCCTTATATTGTATTTAACCTCAGTAGGGCCCTGACCTTCCTCGTCACTACCCAACCGAGGTTAGGCTTGGCACTTACTGAGTACTGCTGTGGTGTACTCATGCCTCTTCTGTGCATGTTTTTCATGTGCAGATCCAGGTACTTCTACTTAGGTCTACCATCCTTGATGGAGGCGACTACTTAGAGACTTCGAGGTACATCTGCCGCATTCGCAGACCGAGGAGTCCCTTTCTATTCCTGCCTTTTAGTATTTAGCCCTTCTGTACTTTCTGTTCTTATTAGACAAATTCCGGAGTTAGAGCTATGTAGTATTTCTTTTTCTTAGCTTGTGATTCATGGGTTTTCGGGTCTTGGATTTATGTTTGGTATTGAGAGTTAAACATGGTGTAAGCCGAGCGGCACATTTAAACACTATTGCTATTTTATTTATGTTTTAAATTGTTTACTTCCGCAAAATTTTGGTTTTTCTTCCGCAAATTAGGCTTACCTAGTCGTAGAGACTAGGTGCTGTCACGATGGTTCACGGAGGGCGAACCGGGATCGTGACACCATGGAAAAAAAGATCCATCTTCTTTGAATTACCATATTGAAAAACTAACAAATTGAGGCACAATCTTGATCCGATGCATATTGAGAAGAATATTTGTGATAGTATTCTTGGGACATTATTGGAGATAGATGGAAAGTAAAAAGATCATGTAAATTCTCGTTACGATTTGCAAGAAATGGGAATACGAAAAGAGCTTCAACCAATACAAGATGTTGTAAGTGGAACAATATCTTTGGCTAAAGCTTGTTTCTACATGAATCCAGAAGAGAAGAAGCGATTTTGCACCGTCTTTAAAAATGCCAAATTGCCAAAAGGGTGTGCCTCAAATGTATCACGTTGTGTGCATGAGAAAGAGATGAAAATATTCGGGTACAAGAGTCATGATGCACATTTTATAATGCATTACTTGCTCCAAGTTGCTGTTAGAAAATAATTACCCAAGAATGTTTCTTTGGCATTGATTAAGTTGGGTAACTTCTTTAAAGCTATATATGTGCCAAGGTTATAAGGCGAGAGGATCTTGATAGATTGCAGACTGTAATCAATGATATTACATGTGAGCTTAAAATGATTTTCACTCCAACCTATTTTGATATAATGCCTTATTTGCCTGTTCATTTAGTAAATGAAATTAAGCTCGGAGGTCCGACTCATTGTCGCTGGATGTATTCCACCGAAAGAAATTTGTGCAAATATAAGGCGTTTGTTCGTAATCGAGCTTATCCAGAAGCATCAATTGCAGAGGGGTTTCTGGCCGAAGAGTGCTTGATCTTTTGTTCGAGATACCTACATGATGGGATGAAGACAAGATTCAGTAGGTACCAAACTGAGTATGATGGGGACATTGGAGGAGCAAATTTGTCACCTATTTTTTCTAAAATAGGCCATCCAATTGGAAGTAAGAAAAAGAGAAAAGGAAAGATTTTTGCTATGGATTTGCAGTTATGTTCTGAGGCACATAGATATGCTCTGTTCAATACTGAAGATGAACAAGTAGAGGCATTTATCATGTAAGATAAAATATATTACCGTCACTTGTATTATAAGCTTTATTTATTTTATATTTTAAGATTTTTAAATTTAATTGATAAAGGCCTAATGATTAAATTTGAAACATATGTCTTGCAGGAAACATAAGAATTTAATTGATAATCAAACTAGATCAAATGCATGGGTGAGAGCAAGAAATCATAGTCGAAACTTCGCCGACTGGTTTAAAAAGAAAGTAAAAAGCATTGACGTTCCCAATCATTTGTGATGGCTAGCTAAAGGGCCTAATACATTGGCCAAACGATATACTGGATATTTTATCAATGACTACTTATTTCATACAATGACGTGGGATGCCCCGTTGAAGACACAAAATAGTGGAGTGACTTTGTCAGCAACAACTGATAGTTTTGCTAGTGCTAGGGACCAAAATACCATTGATGGAGAAGTTCAGTACTATGGAGCTATTTAGGATATAATTGAGATTGATTATTAGGGTCGCTTTAGTGTTGTATTGTTTAGATGTGATTGGTTTCGTAATGAAGTTGATGAATATGGGTTAACTCGGGTATACTTTAACGGATTATGTAGTACTGATGACTCTTTTGTATTGGTATCTCAAGTCCACCAAGTTTTTTATGTGGAGGATCCAATTGAGAAAGATGTTTACTATGCAAGGAATAAAGTCCCTGTTGATTTGTATGATTTGGAGGAAGAAAATATTCCTAATGTTGGGGAGACATTTTGGAGGGAGCCTAATGATGATGCCGGTCCATCAAATAGATTAGCCGATATTGATATTAGATGGTCTAGAGAAGATGTACCTCTTGATGTTATTGATATGCCAATTAATGCTCAACATTCTCAAGATACATATATGGAAATATCAGATGAGGAGGATGAGTTAGATGACACGGATTGGGATTGGATGGAGGCTGATGATTGAAGAAGGAACATCTGATTTTTATTTGTATTGTTAAACTTTATTGTCTTCTTTCGAACAATTTTTTGTTCTTGTATATGCTCTTGGACTTTTAAGTTTGTTTCTATTTCAAGCTTTTGTAATATGCCAAGTAATTGAAACTTTAGTCTGATATATGGAGCTGTTTTAATATGTTTTAGTTCAAGTTTAGTTTGTTTCCTTTCAAGCTTTTATAATATCCAAGCACTTAAGTTCTATTTACCACTTCCACTATAGCATTTCAATTTACAACAAGTTTTTATGAAATATAAAAAGGCAAAGAAAGAGCAGAGGTTGATTAGTGAATGATTGAGTAGACTTAAAATTCAGTAATATATTATATATCTAGAACAGTAAGTCGTGATACGTGACGTCTTTTGTTTTAAATTTTCTGTTCTTGCGTATGACATTGGCGTTTGAACTCCACATAAATCTACATCTACTGTGTAGTCTCATAAGTATTCTATCTTATTTATCTTTGGCAGCTGAATAGAAAAAGAGGAAACTCATAAGAAGAGGTCTATTGTGGAGGTAATAGCCTGATACTATCAGTTGATGCAGGACATCCATAGTAAGTGTAATACCATCAAATTACAAATAACCAACAGCAATTCGCTCATCCAGATTGTGAATGATAGTTTTCTCAATTACGGAAATTATTCTTATCCAATTAGTGCTTCTATCACTGATTTCTGCCAGATCCATAATTTGAACATTTATCTTGAACTTAATCTAGACTGAAAATTGCATGACTTTGAAAATCTGTGCTTTGAGGTTTTTCCCTTTACCTGATTTAAACCTGCCTTGGTTTGATACATTATGCCTAACAACTATAAAGGCTTATAGTTTATTCTCTAACAGGCAACATGTATATCATGTAAGATATGTTAACGTGGAAACCAGACTATTATTCTTCCTACTACAGAAGTCTTGAAGTTGTGGTTGTTTACTGCTATAAGTTCAGGTAAAGTAGATTATAAGTCTCTATGTTGTTATTTTGTAAATCAAGTGGATAGTTTTTTTTACCTTAGCAATAGTCACACAGTTTAATATAATAAGTAAACAAGGCAGATTTCAGCTTTCTAAGATCAACTCCTAGAATTTTTCTTTAAATCCTACTGTTGTCTTTTATATAATACTTATTAGAGATAATTTGTTTTTGTATTCTTCATCAGATTCTGATAGACATGAGTCAAGAAAGACCTTCAAAGCCCAAAATAAAGACAAGTGCGACATATGCAAATCTTGGAACAATGACATCTTTGGCAAATCAAATAAGAAGTTCGTTTTGCCAAAAATATGGTGTTCCCGCTAGACAATCAAAGAAAGATCTTTCGAATATTATTGAAGAGAATCTGTCACAATATCCTGTCGCGCCCCCTTTCTCGCGAAATCGGATTTATGACATTTGGGAGGACAACTCGTTCCCTTTTGGGAATTGGGTTTTTTGATTTGAAGAGTCGCCACCTAATGATTAAGTGCACTAGGACACTAGATAGAACTTGTTTAGAAAAACCAGAGTTTGGGTAAGGTCTAGAAATTATCTCGAGGGGAAGGTATTAGGCACCCCTCAAGATCCACTAGTGTGGTTCCCGGCCATGCTACAATTGTGACTTAAGTACAAACAATAAATAAGCAATTAAGGGTTTTAAATATGAGGGGTTGTCACAAGGTGATTGCAAATAAATTAAAGTTTGAAGAAACAAGGAAGTTGAAATTTGAGAAAAAGGAGTTTTAAATTTTGAAAGTAATAAAATAAACAAGTAAAGGGAAGTGGGGTCCTAGGTTTATAAATAATATGAATCACATCAATGCAATATCTGGTAATCACTCCTCAGAAGAGGGGTTACACGTGGTATTAGCGCACCGGTCATCATATCCATATCTACCCTTTCCCACCCCGTTGAGGTATTTAAACGCGGAATGGTTTCGTTACTTATTGCATGCTAGTACCCACCCCAATCCTATTAGTCCTGGAGGCATTTGGGACTACTAGTCCTAAAGGGAAGGGAAATGTGGGTTTTGTGTGGTTTAAAAGGATAAAATTCTAAAGTGACAAACAAAAATATATAAGGCGGATTATGGGAAACACATAATAATTTAAAAGGCTCAGATGGGCCTCCTCACTTAAAGACAGATTGTTTAACATGTCTTGCAGATACTGGTTATGGTCTAAATTAAACTTAAACGTTAAGGAGGCAGACTGGTCTATTACACATTTCTGATAAGAAATCGGAATCAGACTTTCCTGCTAATTGGAATTAACAGAGTCTGATTCAATTAGCTTATTTTACCTTATAGCTTGCCTAAGTGAAACCTACAGGCATGACATCTAATAATGCAGAAGTGTACTGATTTTTACAAGAAGAAGGCCTGTTGATTATAGAAAACATAAGTTCTACAGACATTGAGTAACGTTACTACTGATTTTAGACTTGTAAACGATTCAGATCAGCTGGTTACTCCTATAGACATGCTTTCTAAGCGTTATTGAGTTTAACCTTTACGAAAATGCAGAAATCCTATAGGCATGGTGTTTAAAACGCTGATTTTTATTATTTAAGCCTATAAATGCATTTGCCTAGTGATAGATGCATATGCAGAATTCAGGAAACTCTATAGATATGTTCTCTAGGTGATAGGTAGAAGCGCAGAAACTTATAGACATGGTATCTATGTATGAAATGCAGAGGCTATAGACATGGTATCTACGTATGAAATGCAGAACCTATAGACAAGAGGATTTTTATATAAA